CATTTGCAGCTCTTTAGCATCATATTATGATTTGGTATTTTATGGAAATCTTCTCCTGATTAAATTTTTTAAAAAGGTAGCTAAAATTTTGTTTTCTAATTCCAGTAGTATATATTTAAGATATTATCGTTAGACTTTTACAAATTCAATAAGAAATTAAGCATTGTAAAACTATAATTTATTTTGCTTTGCCTTAAAATTAAGAGCCCTTATGAGAAAAATGTCCGTATCTTTTCATTAAAGAAAATTGGCTGATTTCAAAAGGTCTAAGGAAATTAAAAATAGTATTAAACCAGACTTTTGAAGAAATTACACAGTATTGCTCCTCCAAATTCCTGTTACAAAGAAAACACATGGCATCCTGGGGCATTCTGATACTTCTGAGGCCCGGTAAATTCCTCCAGTAAACTATTAATACATGGTATTTCAAGTATTTTTTACAAAATACTCTGTTACATCATTTAAATAACAATAGTTTCTAGATAAATGAGGTTTTCTCATGAGTACCTCACAGAATAGAATCTAAAATCTACATATTTAAGTACTTAATTCTCAGTCATGTCAAGAACAATAAAAATTTACTATGGAATAAAAACCACCAGTCTCTTGTCTGGCCAAATGGAAATCTTTTGTATCCATTCTTTTTTAAGATGTTACATTTTCACCTAAGTAGAGAACATAAGCATAAGAAGAAATGATCTTTTTTTGCCTTCATAATGTGATTTATTGAGTGCCTACCATGTTTCTATGCTATAATAAGTGATCAGAGTACATTGCTTCACTTAGCTCCATAAAAAGCCACTGTTTCATTTAGTCCTCATAACAAATATAATTATTAAAATAAGTTATTTTACAAATGAGGTACCTCTAGCTTGGACTTTGGGTGACATTACAATGATTCCCCAGAATCATTTCTCTAAAACCAGTTATCACAATTATGATTGTACATGGCCAGCCTTTTCTGAAATATAGGTATAAAATTGAATTTCATCATCAAATATTGCCAATTAATCAAGGTCTCTAGTAGAATCCTGCAGAAGCACTTGTGAAATGAATGCACTGATGGATTTTTATCATTGTGGTCTCAGTTGTATATTATATCATGGCTATTCTTTAGACCTAATTATATAGGGGTTTTATACTACGGTGGGAGAATATCTGCGCTTCTGATTTATATTAAGTTGGAGCTGATATCACCTTGGAAGGCAGCAAAAGGACTCTCTCCTGAGATTCTATGTATTTCTTCTTCTGAGTAGTCTCAGAGTACTTAATTAAAACTGCTCCTTGGCCCTGATGACTAATTTCTATTTTATGCTATTATTATTTGATATTAATTTAAGATAATGTCATATTATATGAATGCTTAAGACAATCTACACAAACACATAACTATGTGTCCTATTTTTTTTTTAATATAGTTATACTGGAGAGGGAAAAATAAAGAAGAGGGCAGAAGGGAAAGCCTTAGAGAGAGATATGATACAAGAAATGCAGACAGAAATGATATAACCACTTTAGAAAAAAAAGTCTGGCAATTTCTCTAAAAATTATATGCTTCAATATTTTCATTCATTGGCATATATCCATTATTCATACCACAAAAAAGTGAAAACAACTAAGATATATGTCAGCTGATAAGTGGACTAATCAAATATGGCCTCCAGTGAAATATTACTTAGCCAAAAAAAGGAACTGTTGTACATGCTACAACATGGACAAACCCGAAAACATTATACTAATAGAAAGAAGGCAATCACAGGGGACCACATATTGTATGCTTCCGGATATTTGAGATATCCACAATAGGCAAATCCATGGAGACAGAAAATAGATCAGTGGTTGTCAGGGTTGAAAGGAAGGGAGAATAGGAAATACCTGCTATTAGGTATGGGATTTTTTTCTGGGATGAAGAAAATGATCTGGAATTAGTCATGATGGTTATATAACCTTGTGAATGCATTAAAAACCACTGACCTGTATGCTTTAAAAGGGTGAATTTTATGATATGTGAAATATATGTCCATAAATATAAATATTTTGAATTTCAAATAATAATTAAATATATTATAAAATAGGCTTGTGCTGTCTATCCTTCAACCTCATGGCTTGTGTACCATGGGAAAATAGGTAGCTAATTCATCTGTAAAACACATTTTGTATTTGAAAATCTATCCTCTTTCTTTCTCTCTCCGGGCACACATGCACAATATACGCCTTGTATTTTTTAATTAAGTTGCAGTAATCGTAAATCTTTACCCCTAACTAATTTAGGGTATATTTTCAAAGAATAGAGATATTCTCTTATGTAATTACAGTACACTCATCAAATTCAGGACATTTGACATTGATATTAGTGTCTAAAATACAGTCCATATTTAAATTTCACCAATTGTCATAACACTGTACTTTAGAGCAACTTGTTTTTCCCAATCCATTGTCATGCATTGTATTTAGTTGCCATGTCTATATATTGTATTTATTTTAATTGAAAGAGTTTCTCAGCATTTCCTTTTTATGACACTGATATTTTTAAAGAGTGTGAGACTATTACTGTTTTTTTTTTTTTTTTTTTTTTTTTTTTTTTTTTTTTTTTAAAGAGAATAGCTCATTTCGGTTTGTGTGATAGTTTCCCCGTGATGTGATTTAGGTTACAAACTTTTTACAGAAATACTATTTGTATTAGTTTCTAAGGGCTACAAATTACCAAACACTTGGTGGTTTGAACAACAGAAATTTATTTTCTCACATTCCTGAGCACCAGAAGTCAAAGTATCTGCAATCTACGTCCTCTGAATACTCCAGGGGAGAATTATTTCTTTCCTCTTTTCCAGCTTCTGATGGTGCCAAGCATTCCCTGGTTTGTGGTGGTGTAACTCCCATCTCTGTCTCCTTCTTCACATGGCTTTCTTTTCTTTGCTGGGTTTCTTCTCATTAGATAAGGGCATTTATTGGATTTAGGGCTCATCTGGTTATTCTAGAATGATCTCATCTCAAGAACCTTAATTAAATCTGCAAAGACTCTGTTTCTAAATAAGATTTCAGTTACAGATATGGGGGTCTGGATTAAGATAGATCTTTTTGGGTCCACAATTGAATTTATGACATTACTGTAAGGATGTTGTGTGCTTCTCAAAGGATAATATTAGAATGTTCCAGATGTGGATAAGGCTAGAATTTTTTTTTGTTAAAAAAAAAATTCATACTGATACTCAAATTCAAATTAAATGGTAGAATTTTTCTCTTGCCTTCTCACATAGCACGATTGTATCTTTCTTCTTCCACAGTGAGAACTCTTGCTCCTAACATTAGTAAACTGTTTACTTACTTAATCCATCCTACAATATACATAAAATAGTTTCAGAATTGCTACTGCTATATCATTACCAAAACTAAACTTGTAAATAAGATTCAAGATTTCCATGTGATTTTTTTCTGACTTTGAAATTATGTAGCCAAGTTCAAAAGTTGCATGGATTAATTCATCCCACCTCCATCCCCCTCTGTGTGAGGTTACTTTATCCTTTGGATATACTGTTCAGTTAAATTGTTTCTTGTATTCAATTTTAAGGTCTATTCCTTCATTTTTGTTGGTTTAATTTTATTTATTTATTGAATAATAACACTTTGATGGGATTCCAAAAGTAAAAACTATATTAATAGAAAGGATACTCAGGCTAACCAACTTCACTAGTTTCTGGTTTACTCTTCCTGTGTTTCCTTTTGTAAAGATAAATGAGTACGTATCTATTTCATTTTGCTTTCTTTTTACATAGAAGTGGTTATCAACTGGGGAGATTTTGTCCCCCAGTGTCATTTGGCAATATCTGGAGACAATGTTTTTGGTTCACTCCAGTAAGGGGTGCTACTGACATCTAGTGGGTAGACACCAGGTATAATGCTAAACATCCTACTATACACAGGACAGCCCTCGGCAACAAGGAGTTATCTGATTCAATAAGCCGAAGTGCCGCAGTGGAGAAACCCTGCTATTTGTCTACTTTTGTGTTTTGCTTTTCAACTTAACAATGTATCATGGAAATGACTCTATATCACTTTGGGAGGTCTTCCTCATCCTTTTTTACAGCAGCATGGTGGATGTACTATGGTTTATTCCATCAGCCTCCTTTCGTGGGTATTTATGTTGTATTTCCATATTTTGCTATTACAAATAAGCTGTAATGAATAACCTTATGCATCTTTTTTTGTATTTTAGAAGTATATTTCCAGAGTAAATTCCCAGAAGTGGGTCAAAGGGCAAATGCTCTGTCAGTCTGCCAAATCCCCTTCTTAAGAGTTGTACCATTCTGCATGTTCACTGTAGTATGAGAACACTCCTTAACCCATAGGCCTGCCAGTGCAGTGAGTTATCAAGTTGCTGAATTTTTGCCAATATGATAAGTAAGAAACTCAAGGTAGTTTTAATATGTGTCTTTCTTACTATGAATTATTTTTTCGTTGTTTTGTATGTTCACATTACTGGGTAAAAACCCAAATTGTATAATACGTAACCCAAAAAATTATAGATGAATTACAGAAGCAATATTTATCCAAAACAGTGAAACAAAGTATATGCAGTATTTCTCTGCCGAAAATGTTGAATGTGGCTGGGTTCTGTGCCTCACAACTGTAATCCCAGTGCTTTGAGAGATCAAGTTAGGAGGATCATTTGAGGCAAGAGTTTGAGACCAGCCTGGAAAACATATCAAGACCCTGTCTCTACAAAATAAAAAATAAAATAGAATTTTTTAGAAAAGAAAATGTCAGATGATTTCTTGGAGAAGCTTTTCTTGTGTTCATGTGTCAGTAAGATTTTATGTAAACATAATGGTATTGTTTAGCAGTTATCAGTGCCTGCAGGAGAAGTACTCATCACCAGGTAACAAATATCATCCTGGAATTGTAGGATGTTTTTTGCTGATGTTTTCAGACCACCAAGATGTAACACTGAGTAAGTTAACATGATTTTCCACCAGGGTTTTTGTGTGTTTGGTGTTTTATAGGCCATATATGTCTCTTGGAAGCCTTCGGGATCAAGTCATTTACCCTGATTCAGTGGATGATATGCATGATAAAGGTTATACAGATCAAGATCTAGAACATATCCTACACAATGTCCATCTCTATCACATAGTTCAAAGAGAAGGAGGTAAAGTCCATCATTCTTTTTTAATGCATTTAACTTCACTTTTTTTTGAGGAAAATTTGTATTGTTTTAATTATTTTTATGTACAGAAAACTCAACAGTGTACACTTAACCCAGTTTGGCGGCAATTTCTTTAGCCTTTGCCTTTTTGAGCTTGGTGATGCCAGCCACAGACTTGGGACCCAGGACATTGCCTCCCCAGTGACGGTGGATCTCATTGCATCTGTCGTTGTAATTGGTCCTGATGGCTTCCACCAGCTTAGCCAAAGCGCCTTTGTCTTCCGAGTTCACCTGTGTGAAGGTGACAGTGGCGCAGGTCTTCCTGTGGACTAGACGTCCCAGTCTTGCTTTCCCCTTGACAATGCAGTAAGGGACTCCCATTTTACAACAGGGCAGGCAAGAAGACAGCCAGCTCGATGGGTTCCACGTCGTGTGCAGTCACCACCAGCTGAGCTTTCGTGTTCTTCACCAAGGTGGTGATGGTCTTAACTCCTGCTCGAAGGACAGGTGGTCTCTTAGTGGGGACGTCCCCTTTGCTAGCCGCTTTCTTCTCGGCCCAGGCCAACAACAGCCTCTGCTTCTTCTCTTGCTTTGTGTCTGGTCTGCCCTTGTGGGCCAGCTTACGCAGCTGAGTAGCTGGCGGTCCAGGGCCTGGGTGAATCGGTTAATGGCAGGAGGCACTTTCAGCGGCTCATAGAGGCTGGTTCTCTGCCGCTGCAACCTGATATAGCGGGGCCATTTCACAAAGTGGGTGAGGTCTCTGTTGGACTGGATGTCCTGTCCAATGCCAAAATTCTTAGGCCGTTTCTCAAATGGGATTCACCACTTTCTTAGCCTCCTGCTTCTTCACGACAGCAGGGTCCGGAGCCACCTTCTTCCCCTTAGACTCCTTTCCTTTCAGCATCTTGGGCAGCGGGAAGAGAGTCACTTTTAAAAAGTAAGCTTGAATATATATTTAGTCTGTGGTTTAATTTGAACGTTTGCTATAATCAGAAATAAGCGGGTAAGTGTAAAGATGGAGATTTATTGTTGTTCCATTATTTACATTTCTTTTTCTGCTTGTGTTATGTTTCATGCAGCACACTAGGTTTTTATTAAGATTCCATGTCAGTGCAGCTAACATTTAAAAAATGTTTCTTTTATTTTATATGTGAATGTACAAAGTCCCTGAGGCCACTGGCAGTCTAGATGTATGTAAAGTCAGTGACAGAAATATTTGCCTTACAAGCTCTTGGCTTACATTACATTAAATAATTTGATAGTTGATACCACAGAACTTGTTTTTCTTTGCTTTCAGACCCACAATCTTAGCAATATCATTTTTGCTCTCAAGTAGCAAATAGAGAATTAAAGTTAGAAACTTCTGTATTGTGGCTTTTCAGCATAAAACATTTTTGAAAGAGTATAAATAACATTTGTACATGTAAGCTTAAAATAGAAGTATAGTCTAATAATACTCTTTCTGTGCTTAGTGATACTTTCAAATAATTTAATAATAATAATCACACTTTAGTCAGAGCAGTCAGGCAAGAGAAAGGAATAAAGGGCATCTATATAGGAAGAGAGGAAGTCAAACTATCCCTGCTTGCAGACACATGTTTTTATATCTAGAAAATCCCATAGTCTCAGCTCAAAAGCTCCTTCAGCTGATGAACAACTTCAGCAAAGTTTCAGGATACAAAATCAATGTACAAAAATCACTAATATTTATACACATTAACAACTGCCAAGCCAAGAGCCATATCGGGAAGGCAATCCCATTCATAATTGCCACAAAAAGAAAAAATACCTGGGAATACAGCTAACCAGAGAGGTGAAAGATCTCTACAATGAAGATTACAAAACACTGCTCAAAGAAATCAGAGAAGACACAAATGGAAAAACATCACATATTCACAGATAGAAAGAATCAGTATTATTAAAATGGCCATGCTGCCCAAAGCAATTTACATATTCAATGCTATGCCTATCAAACTACCAGTGACATTCTTCACAGAACTAGAAAAAAACTATTTTAAAATTTATATGAAACCAAGAAAGAACCTGAATAGCCAAGGTAATCCTAAGCAAAAGGAACAAAGCTGGAGGCATCAAGCCATCCCACTTCAAACTGTACTACAAGGCAACAGTAACCAAAACAGTATAGTACTGATACAAAAACAGACACACAGACCAATGAAACAGAATAGAAAACCCAGAAATAAGGGCGCACAACTATAACCATCTAGTCTTCGACAAAGCTGACAAGAACAAACAATGGGGAAAAGACTAATTATTAAGTAAATGGTGTTGGGATAACTGGCTAGCCATATGCAGAAGACTGATGCTGGACCTCTTCTTTACACCATATACAAAACTCAACACAAGATGGATCAGAGACTTAAATGTAAAACCCCAAACTATAAAAATCCTGGGAGACAATCTAGGCAATACTATCCTGGACATAGAAACAGACAAAGACTTCATGACAAAGATACCAAAAGCAATCACAATAAAAGCAAAAACTGACAAGTGAGATCTAATTAAACTTAAGAGCTTCTGCACAGTAAAAGAAACTATCAACACGGTAAACAGACAACCTACAGAATGGGAGAAAATATTTGCAAACTACGCATCTGACAAAGGTCTAATATCCAACATCTATAAAGAACTTAAATTTAGAAGAAAGAAACAACATCATTTAAAATTGGGAAAAGGACATGAACAGACACTTCTCAAGACATACAGCCAACAAGCATATTATAAAAATGCTCAATATCACTGATCATTAGAGAAATCCAAATGAAAACCACAGTGAGATACCACTAGTCACACTAGTCAAAATGACTATTATTAAAAAGTCAAAAAATTACAGATGTTAACAAGGTTGTGGGAAAAGGGAACATTTATACGCTGTTGATGGGAGTATAAATCAGTTCAACCATTGTGGAAAGTAGTGTGGTAATCCCTTAAAGAGCTAAAAACAGAACTACCATTTGACCCAGCAATCTCATTACTGGGTTTATACCCAGAGGAATATAAATAACTCTACCACAAAGACACATGCACACAAATGGTCATCACAGCACTATTCACAATAGCAAAAGCATGGAATCAACCTAAATGCCCATCAATGACAGATTAGATAAAGAAAATACGGTGCATATACACCATGGAATATTATGCAGCCATAAAAAAAGAATGAGATCGTGTATTCTGTGTTAACATGAATGGAGCTGGAGGCAATCATCCTTAGCAAACTAATGCAGGAACAGAAAACCATATACTGCATGTTCTCACTTATAAGTAGGAGCTAAGTAATAAGAACTTACGAACACAAAGAAGGAAACAACAGAGATTCAGGCCTACTTGAGGGTTGGAGCGTGGGAGGAGGCAGAGAAGCAGAAAAGATAACTGTTGGATTCTGGGCTTAATACCTAGGTGATGAGATAATAGGTACAATGAACTCCCATGACACATGTTTACCTGTGTAAGAAACCTTCACATATCCTCCCAATCCTAAAAGTTAAAATAATGATAATAACAGTCACACTTTCAAGTAATTTACAATTCATAGTCTAGAAAAATGACTGAAATAACAAATGAGACCCCAAGTTTAATTTTAAATGGATTTTATATTCTATTTCACAGCCCACTTACATTATTAGAAGTAGAGTAGTAGTACAGTGATTGAGAATATGGGCTTTTAACTCAGAGTTCTGGAATTAAATCTTGATTAGCACTGTTCTGTGTATCTTCAACTATAAAATGAGGATAAATATCTACCTTATATGTTTTTTGTGAATATTAAATCAGTTAAATTAAATAAATTAAATAAGCACGTAAAACTTTAGCACAGCGGCATATGAGTACACAAGAATTAGCAGCTGGCTGACACCTGTTCAGTGGCTCACACCTGTAGTCCCAGCACTTTGGGAGGCTCAGGAGGGCAGATATCTCTAACCTAGGAGGTTGAAACCAGTCTGGGTAACATGATGACACTATTTCTCTTAAAAAAAAAAAAAAAAAAAAAAAACATAAAAATTACCCAGGCATGGTGGCACACCCCTGAAGTCCCAGCTATTTGGGAGGACTGAGGTGGGAGAATCACCTGAGCCTGCAAAGTCAAGCTTTCAGTGAGGTGTGACTGCATCACTGCACTCCAGACTAGGCAACAAGAGTGAGACCCTGTCTTAAAAAAAAAAAGAAAAAAGAAAAAAGAAGAATTAGTAGCTAATGTTAATATTAGTAGTTGTAATATTGATACCGTCTTTTGTCTTTGTGTGATAATGCTTGATGTTTTACATAGCAATATCACATACATTATTTCATTTGATGCTTACAGTAAACAATTAAGGCAGGCAAAAAAAACTTTTAATTTTTTGGTATTTGTAATTCCTACTATATATGGAAAGCAGATTGGTTTTTTGTTTCATGAGGTCCAACTCCTTGGAGTTTCAAAAGACTGTGGTAGAATAAATACTACATCTTTATCTTAGGCAAGTTATGTTGAGGAAGTTTGAAATCTAATAGATATTTAGAACACACATGAGATATTATATTCTTTTAGAAGTCATCAAGAAATTCTTTCCAAGAATTTTTGAAACTTAAAAATGTAATCACAATTGTTATGGGTTTTTGAGTGCTTACTATGTGGAATTTATAGACATCAAATTATTTAATATCCGTAATATTACAATGACATAGGTTTTACTATCTTCATCTTAAAGATTAATTTCAGAAACTTAGTAACTTACTCAGAGTCCCATGGCAATTTTGGGGACAGGGATTCAAGCACAGATCTGACTTGTATGTCAGTGTTCTATGCTAGAGTATGCCACTACACTATGGTACCCCCTAACTTTTTAAACAATAATAAAAACCATTATATCCTTGCATATAAAAAAGCTGCAAGGAAACCTGTTTTACTTCCTTAATTCTTAAACCTGAAATATTTAAGCAAAGCAGGAAAACACTTAAATTTGCAAGTACATTACTTAATTAGAAAGAAGCCTACTGATGTTCTATTTAGACTAGCTAATCCTTTGGTTAGTATAATAAAAATGGAATTACAAACTACATTCCATTCCATCAACTGGGTTACAAAACAGGAAAGCAAACAAGGGTTAACAAATGGACAGAACGAAAGAAGCATATGCATCTCTAGGAAGCAGGAAAATCATTCTCTTTTTTGCTGACTTGGTCTCATTAAATCAGCATGAGAGGCAACATTATGACTCAGAGTTTTGATTTATGTGTTCCGTGATCATGCAATACTAGGGCCTACAAAAATCTTTGGGTTTAGTAGAACAAAAACCATGATTATTAAAATATGTAAGAGTTAAAATGTCCTTCAACCCAAATACATTCTCTTGTGCCATGTTTTCAGTTGGCAGGGGAAAAAAAATATTAAGCCCAGAATATTTCTCCACTGCATAGTAATCCAAATCTATTTCTCAAATCATCACTTATATTTCATAAATACTATGAAATTCAATCACAGGGAAAGTTTTATTTCAACAGTTTTCCCAAGAAGCCAGAACTCTAAATCAGATGATATTTCAATATTATTTTTCCTAATATAAAATTTTAAGGATATGTCTATTTCCTATGTGTATTTTAAGAAAGGACAATTTCTGGAAGTTTACCCAAGAAAACGAACAATGATCCCCTCTGGAGAGTGAGATTTTAGGTGTTACTGGGAAACAGAGAAAGTCTCCTTTTCACTCCAGATCTTTTTTTATTGGTAACTTTTCATATATTGCATTACCTTTATTATATGCCTTTGCTTATTTAATTTTTGGAGTAACACTTTTACATAATTTATAAATGAAAAGGTATTTTTAAATGTACTCTAAAAACATCTGATTCCTGTTTCCTTCTATCCAGTTGTCATCTATCTCCATCAGTCAACCATTGTTTTTAGTTTAGTTTTTATGCTTTTATACATTTTTTAATGTTATGTACTTTGTAGTGGTAATTTTAAAGAAAGAAGATGGTAAGAAATATAAAGATGCATTTTATCTTTAACAATTAATGTATATTATTTCATCAAAACCTCTGAACTTTTGGATTTCAAAAATGAGTCCAAATTTTTCTTTTGACCAGCAGAAGAATCAAATAATCATTTTTGATAATTTGACTTTTCAGATACACAGTACACACAAAACAATGAAGACTACAGTTTCTATTTTCTTTCCTATTGACCAAGATTATTTCAAGATTTTAATAATGGTAAAAATTCAGCTGAATAAGTATAAAGATGGCAAAGAATATGGATTGTTTCCAAAGAGGAGAGTTAAGCCCTGAACACTTACGATTTAGAAGTTTTGCTCTAAGTGACTGTTAGGTTTTGGCAGTCCTTTTCTTCTTTGAAAATCTGACTCTCCAGTAGTGGAACTATGGTTTTGTTTTTAACTAATCTTTTAAAAATCTAATTACAAAAATAAAGTAGGCTTATTATAAAATTTTTAGATTTTATAAAAATAGATAACTTAGGAAATAAATCTAATTCTGTTCCTGAAAGTGTGTATGTGTTTCTTTACAGAAAGATGATGATATATACAATTCTGAAAGTTGATTTTTAAAATGCAGATGTTCTAGGCACATTTCCATATGAATATACTCTTACTCTATTTGTAAGAAAAATAGAATCGTTGCTTTTTAAATAAGTATCAAACAAAGTCAACAATTAAGATGTTTTAAGAAATAGCATGCATGGAAAAACAGTCAAAGCATCAGACAGACCTAAACATAAATCCCAATTCTGACATCTGATTGTATAAACCTAGACATGTCAATTACTCTATGAACTGTAGGCTGCTCACTTATAAAATGCAAGAAATAAAATCTGTCTTACAAAACTGTGAAATATCTGATGACAAAACTCACATAAAGTCCTAGGCATAGGGGTGCCACTTAAGTTAGTTCCTTTCATAGACTTTGCAATTGACCTATGAAAATTTGTTGGGTCTTTTCTCCCATCTCCCACCAAAATAAGTATAAGTCTATCAACCCACTGGAGACACTGAGAAACAAACAAAAATTTTAAAGGGTCAGTGTTTAGAATTCTTGTAAGATCATTTGTCGATATAAGAAGTTATTACCATCAAAACAATATCAACTCTGGAACAAAATGCTTATACACGAAGCGCTGCCATTTATCCCAAGCACATGTCCTGTAAAATACCAAGTTCTTCATGTTGACAATTTGGATTTGTCAGGAATCACTTGTCTAGGGTAGAAACAGTAACAATTAAACAAATGATTTATACAAATGTATATATTTTTGTTGTCTTAAGGATGGGATGCTGTTATGGATTGGAAAGATGTCCTGTCGGGAGGGGAAAAACAAAGAATGGGCATGGCTCGTATGTTTTATCATAAGTAAGTATACTACATTCAGGTAGCTATCATTCCATTGTTGTAACCGACCCAAACAACAACAACAACACATGTTTGGACAGGATTTATTGTCCTTATCTTTAGTTTAAAAATATCTTACTACAAAATTAGTGCACAGACTTTAAAGTTTTTTAATGTCTTACATTAATTTTTCTTATAGTAGAATCTCCAAGTATTTTTTCTATTTCTCTCATGTTGAGTAATGGTAGATGAAATAATGTGTACAGAGGACTAAATTAAGTTTTAATGTATCCTAAGCTTGAATAAATGATTACCAATTTTAAAATATGAAGAATTTTAATTTCAATTTAATTGAAATGTGTATTTGGCTATACAAATTTTAGTACAATAACAATAAGCTCTGTTTATTATATAATAATATAGAAATAATGTATACAGAGGACCAAATTAAGTTTTTATGTAATAAAGCTTAATCTATGAAATAAATTTATTTCATAAAACTTATGAAATGAATTTTATTTCGAATATTAAAATATGAAGAATATACAATCATTAAAATACTTGTGTAAATCCAATAGGTAGACAGACATTCAGTAGTATTTTCTGAATTAAATTGTTAAATTCAAGGTAAATCAATTTTTTGACTATTTAGCAGTCAATTAAACCAAGTAATGTTCTCCCCTTGGAAATCAAAGTTATAGTCAGTGGAAAAAGGGACCATTCTGCATAGGCTTCAATGGACTGAGGAAAATTGAGAGGCAGGAAATAATTGCTTCTGATAAAACATTTTTAATTGCAACCAGCTTCATACCCTTTTGAGTTTAAGGATACCAAGCATAAGACACGAGAAGGAAATATTAAAGTCCTTCTGATTCGCCTGATTCCTTCATTTTTTTTCTTTTCACCTCTTAGATCTCTGGGAATAAGAAAGCACCTAAGTTGTGCAGTACAGAAGGTAGTCAGAAACTGTGTTACTCACTTTTAATACTTAGGTCTTGGGCAAAAAAGACCAAAGAGTTATGTACATGAATGCATGAATGGGGCACAAATAATGGCAGATGCGGCACTCCTGAGTGAGTTGCAGTGAAAGTAGTAACGTTTTTGTAGAGAACTTTAAAATTATATCAAGTATGTATTATTGAACATGTAGCACTTAGTTCTCCCACACTTAGCAATCAGTTGGCTATTCATTTTTTAAAAGCCTTTGATTACGGAAAAAATGTCAAACTTCATCAAAAAAGAGAAATTGTTGTAAGAACTCCATATTCTCATCACAGTGATTCCACAAGTGTAACATTTTGCTACACTTGATTTATCTACTCATTTTTTTATTTCTGAAGTATGTTAAAGCAAATCACAGATATTGTGACATTTTTCCCTAAATACTTTGACAACAGTCTCTGAAATATTAGAATATAGCCTTATATAATAACATATAATAAGAATACCTAATTACATTGATAATATTATTTCAAGTCATTTAATATATGGTTCATATCCTAAGTTTCCCTGATTGTCTCAAAAATATCTTTTTACACTTGATTTGTTCAAACCTGGATCTAAACAAGTTTCACACATTGCATTTTATTGTTTTATTGTTACACCTCTTAATTCCTTTTTAATCTAAAGTCTCTCCTCCTCCTGTGCCCCACGTACATTTTATACCTTTGACTTGTTGAAGGAACTGGGTTAATTGTCCTATAGAATGTTGCTTGTTCTAGATATACCTTATTGCTACCTTATCAGGTAAATCTAGGGGTCCTTTATCTTTCTCCCAGTCTTTCATTTTTTTTCTGTAAACTGGAAATTAGAGCAAAGAGCTTGATGAGATTTGCAGTTCAGCCTTTTTAATAAGACCATAGCATATGAAAATGATTTTTAAAATTGTATTAAAATATAATTATGTGCATTTTAAAAAGTAGAAAATGTATGTAAGTAAAAAAAAGAAAAAAATCTGTTATCTCGTTAGCTATTATCTCATTAGCTGTTATCTTATTAGCACTGGTATTTTGGATATTTTAAATTATTTAAATTTTAAATTACTGTAACATTTAAACACTGTTAAAATTGAGGGATATTTTTTACCAGTCTTGATAATACACAAAAGTTGGTTGTTTTTATTATTTTAATGCAACTATTTTCATGAAACATATAATCTATAACTTTTTAATTTCATAATGTAATTATGTGCTTTTCTATAATACTGTATAATAAACAGAGCTTATTGTTATTTTACTGAAATTTATATACCAAATATACACATTTTAGGTATACAGCTGAATGACTTTTATAAATTTTTCTACTTTATGTAACCAATACCCCTTCAAGATAACATTTCTGTTACCCTAGGAAGTTTTCTCATCCTCCTTTTCAATCCAGTCCCCTCTAGACACTTCTGTTCTGATTCCTATCACCATAAATTAGTTTTGATTATTGTATAACTTCATGTAAATTAAATCATGCACTAAATAATATTTTCTTTTTTAGCTGGAATTTTTAGTAAAAAAAACTATTAGTTGTGTTCATAGCATGTTATTTATAATAATGTATGGTTAAGAATTGGCTAGCTAAAAATATAAACTAAATTTTGCTAACTTGGGATTTTTAATGACATGTATTTTGGAATACCCCTTTCTCAGAAGATGTGAGGAAATTCAAGAGTAAACTTTACAGGTTGGCATTTATGACCAGCTGTTACCCACTATCACCCTGAATCTGTTTGGGTCTAGGCCATAAGGATCCATTAATATGATCACCAGCATAGTTAATGAAATATAATATGGTGAATGTAAAATTTAGCCAGAAATTTTTCACTGTATCAGTGTGTTAATAAAATAAATCTTGTAATAAATAGCAAGTGGCATTAATAAAAGTTGTTGATCCAAAGAGATTTCACATACTTATAACCTGAAATAAATACTTCACATTTGTATATCTAAAATATTTTGTATATAATATGATAATGAGTGAAGGTAAGTCACAAGTATATCCATGGAAAGAAAATTCAGTGAGCCATATAAAGATTTATAAGAAGAGCAAGTAGCTTAAAAGCACAATCTTTTGACAAAAGATAAAAGGAATTTTAGATATTCAATCTAGTGAAGAGAAAGTTTAACTATAGGAAACTTCCCTCATTCTCAAAGGATTTAAAGTTTGAATTGTGATGCGAAGGGCTTGAGCTGGCAAGAATGAATAACTTTAGCAGGAAGTAATAAGCATCACAATAGTATTCTCTTTTTGAGAGGATTTTAAATGTTTTAATAACTCAAGAATAATTGAAAAAGTCCTGTCTTAAGGGGGGCAGATTAAGTACTTCACAAAGCCCATTCTGCTGATGATGCACAAAGCAAAAAGGAAAGGAAGTCTGAGAAACGATATGATCTAATGCCTTATTTACTTATATCAGTACCAGATTCTAGCTATTGCTTGATATATTTAAGGACACACACACACACACACACACACACACACACACACACACACCAGTCCTGCCATGGAAACTAAAATGTGTGATCTTACATCTGCTAGACTAGGGGTTGCTATGACAACAGAGTGTAAGATACATACTTTTTTCTAATTCTAAAATGGCATATTTTCTGTTTCCTTCAAAGCACTCTGAAAAATAAAACAAAATGCAATAAACAAGTTAGTAACCGGAAAGAGCTTTACACAAAAGGAAAATTTTACTCAACCTTTCTCTTTTATACTTCCTTTAATTCTTCCTCTTGTTTACTTAAAAATATCATCCACGAAACAGAAAATAACTCTGAGACAAAGAAGTAATGCTTATTACCAGAACAGTAACCAAAAATCAACCAGTAACATTATTTCCAGTAACGCTGTCATGGAGAACAGGCACTGATCTCTTATTCTTTGCATGTAGAACAGTTTTAGAGTCTTTGACTCCTGTATCCATTAGCCTTGACTACCGGACCTATAGTAGGTAACTGGATCCTTTTAATAAGCAAATCCCATTATAGAACAGTAACTTACAGGGCAAATAATTATTTATGCTGATAAGAAATTATCGATTTTCATTTTTTTAAAACTTCTCTTCATTTTATTTTTAAAAATCAGAGTATTTTTTATAAAGGAAATTGTCCTCGCAAATACTTGATACTGATTTTCAACTCCAAACTGAATAGCAAATGACTGTGTAAGAGTTGACTCTGTTACCATTAACTAAGCTAAGTAAGTACCAACAGCCCAGTGGGACTGGAAAGGCAGAAAGAGAAAGGTCAAAGAAAAGTAAGAGCAGGGGGTGAGTTGAGAGGAGAGAGGATAAACAGAAGGAAACGATGCCAAGTGATATAGGGTGCCTCTGATAACAGATATGCACTATCAAAGTAAAAAATACGCTTAAAAATTGTCCAATATAATTAGAAAAATATTTACTTCTTCACTTAATAATTTGATTCTGGAGTATGGTTCCAATATGACGTGGTTAAATCTCTGCTCTAGATTTATAAGATGAGGCACATTCACTCTTGCAGTCTTATAGTGATGAAATTCCATTAGTAATGCTTAGCTATTCACATTGCTGATAAATAATCTTCTCATTAAATCTTTGCTAACAGGGCTGTGGCCAGTTTGATAATTAGCTACTGCAATGTATTTTTCATGTAATTAGTCAGACCCTTCTCACCACAAATCAACCTGCCTCCTACTCCTGTAGGAGTGATGTACTCAGTGACCTGCCTCATCTTTCCTAGCCTCATATTGATAATTCATTCATCTGCAAAACAATAAAGCTTATTGTATTATTTTAAAAAGCATCAGAAAATATATTTAAATTTATTAAAAATGTGATGTTCTAGTCCAAAGAGGGGGATAACTACTTGTTTGCTTTATCATTGATTGCCTTTAATAATGTCATATTCTCTTTTGCGCCTCTAAAATTGTCAGTAATGCAAGACATATCATCCAAAGAAAAACTTACAATTCAACTAGGAAAATAATTAACTCTTGTGTGTACTTTTTAAAAGACCAAAATATGCCTTGCTGGATGAATGTACCAGTGCTGTCAGCATTGATGTTGAAGGAAAGATATTTCAGGCTGCAAAAGGGGCTGGAATTTCCTTACTGTCTATAACACACAGGCCTTCTCTTTGGTAAGTGTTTCAAAGCACTAATTTGTGGTAGATGGCTTTTCTTTAAGTTTTTAAAAAATAGCTGCAAAACTTTTTACAGCAGAGGGTAGTGTTTTTAACTTATTTTCTATCTATACTTCTCTTAAGTTGCACACTACTAGCTTAGATACTCACTAAGTAATATCATTAATGTATTATTTGAATTATCATCACTTTCCAATAATTCTTAAAAGACATGGAAAAATTCAGTGATTTATTTTAATGGAAAATATTTATGAATACCCGGTAACAAGTGCTGGGAAAAATATATTTATTGTACTGTACATTGTTCTTTTAGTCCTTTCTTTAAAACCCAGAAAAGTAAAATCCAGAGAAAACTGCATTACACACAACTTGATATTCCTCCAAAGGATTAAGTGGAGAAAACATGGGTGGTGGTGGCGGGGTGGGCTTATTTTTAGTTGGTTTAAAGAAAAATGAGCTGAATTTTTTTTTTTTTTTTTTTAGAAATAATGTCTCATAAAACTATATTGAATTTCTCCTTCAAATAAAGATACTAATTTTATATTTTCCCCATTTTTCCCATTGATTTATCAGCATCATAATAGTTGAGCACTTATTCCGTTCCAGGTATATCTTATTTAAGCCTCACAACAACCCAGTGAAGTTTAAGAAACCTAAACTTCCCATTTTACAGGTGAAGAAACTGAGAACCAGAAAAGTGAGATACTTCCATGATGACACACTCTGTACTATAGCACACAGCTCTCATTATAAGGAGCTCAAAGTATATCTCATGCGTTGGCCATAAATACTGCATCCCCTACTTTTGCATTTCTGTTTAATCAATTAAAATTTTTTCTTTTGACTTCTTAGTAACTGTAACTGACTCTGTATATGCTTTGGCCTCCTATTTTCCAAATGACTGCACAGAATTCCTCCCCTTTTTCTGGCTGCAGCATTCTGTGTCAGGTGTCTGATCAGATTTCATGCCAAAGTTGTCATCATGTGCATGCCTTCAAATCTAGCCTAGCAGCAAGCATTATTGGAATTTATCCTTGAAGCCCTTCTAGACTTTTAACCTTATAAAGATATTTACATTAAAATTGTTAGCAAACAGTATTCATCTAATCAGGCTTTTCTTGTTCAAAATTCTTTGACTCTGAATTTCATTTCTATTGAAAAGATAATCTATTTTCACACTCAATTTAAACATTGATTTTTTGGAATTCTTTAAAAATGTATTTTCTGGATCTAGTCAAGCATGAGTTAGGATCCAGCCAATGAATATGCCCTGACTTTTATCCTGAAGAAGATCAACAGTACCTAGATCTTTAAGACAATAAAGACATGTGCCTGTAAATCCTCTGAAGCAAGGAAAACAGAGCTAGGCCAGAACTCTTGAGCCCTTTTTGGTATCAACCTTAATTTCCAGACTTTCTCCCAAATTAATCGCATGTTGGGATGTATTAGACTTGAAGTTTTTCTGACCTTTGTTAATGGATTTATTACACTTTCCAGCCATTCGGTTCCTTACTCAAATAGCCCTAGGAGGCATTCAAAGCATATATAGCCATTTTTTCCGCAATTGCGGGAACAACTAGTCTTTTAAGTAAATAACGAAATCTGTTGTGCTATGCCTTTTGACAAGAAACACATTTTAATTGTAGCTACCCACAGTACATTTCTCCACAAAACAAAATACCATGTTAGTTCTGATTTTTCATTTAGCTCTGCCATTTTAGGTTGCCATTTCTGATTATTCTCTCAGGAAAAATGAAATTTTTATTTTCCCTGACTAGGTTTCTGAAGTGGGGAAAGATGTATCATATTTTTCCCATAAGAACAAATGAGTAATTGTTGATTGCAAAGATTAAAATCAATACTAGTGTTAAGTAAAAAATTATAGAAGCTTATTAGAAATTTTGATTCCTGGGTAAAATTGTAGCTGTATAACCATCACTTTCCTAAGCTTTATCCTGCTTGTGAAGGAAATAGGATAAAGATGATCTCAAATGAGTTTCAGTTAAAATAGCAGTTTCTTTTCAATTCCTCAAAGATAAACCCTGAAATATTATATTATCTCAGCTTGTAATATAGAACACGTCTTTGAATCTCAGGGTATGAAACACCTACACGGTTGGTTCCCCCATGTAGAAATCAAATAGTGTTGTAAGACCAGAGTGATGAGCCAAACCATCATTATACATCGAAGGTGAGACATGCCCAATATATGAATGACCAGGTATGAGTAAGATCATGTGGTATTTGTCTTTCTGTGCCTGGCTTATTTCACTTACTGTAACATCCTCCAGGTTCTATCATGTTTTCATAAATGGTGGGATTTTATACTTTTTTACAGTGGAGTAGTATTCCATCATGTATATATATATATATATATATATATATATATATATATATATATAATCATATTCTTCATCCTTTCATCCATTGATGGACTTTAGGGTAGATTCCATATGTTGGCTATATAAATAGTGCTGCAATAAACATGGGAGTACAATTATCTCTTTGACATACTGAGATAATTTTCTTTGCATATATTCCCAGTGGGGGATTGCTGGATCATTTTGTAGTCTATTTTTAATATTTTGAGGAACCTCTTTACTGTTTTCCATGATGGTTGTACTAATTTATATTCCCACAAAATGTGTTTAAGAGTTTCCTTTTTTCCACATCCTCACCAGTACTTCCTGTGGTTTTCCTAATAGCCATTCTAACAAGAGTGAGGTGATTTGAATTTACCTGATGATTAGTGTTGTTGAATATTTTTGATATGCCTATTGGTCATTTGTATATCTTCTTTTGAGAAATGTCTATTCAGATTTTCTGTCCATTTTGTAATCAGGTTGTTTTCTAGCTACTGAGTTGTCTGAATTCCTTGCATATTTGGGGTATTACTCCCTTATCAGATATCTAGTTTCCAAATATTCTCTCCAATTTGTTAGCTATCTTTACATTCTGTTGATTGGTTTCTTTGTTGTGCAGAAGCTTTTGAGTTTGATGGAATACCATTGATCTATTTTTACTTCTGTTACCTATGCTCTTAAAGTCATATCCGAAAACTCATTGCCTAAATTTCATTGTCATTTCAAACTTAACATCCAAATTTCACTGTCATAAAACTTTTGCCCTATGTATTCTTCTAATAATTTCAGGTCTTGCATTGAATTCTTTAATCCATTTTGAGTTGATTTTTGGATATGGTGAGCAATAAGGATCAAATTTCATTCTTCTACATGTGGATATCCAGTTTCCCACCATTTATTGAGGATACTGCTCTTTCCCAATAGGGTGTTCTTGGCACCTTTGTTGAAAATCAGCTGACTATAATACGAGGATTTATTTCTGGTTCTCTATTCTATCCCTTCGGTCTCTCTGTCTGTTTTTGTGTCAGTACCATGCTGTTTGGGTTGCTACAGTTTTGTAGCATATTTTGACATCAGGTAATGTGATGGCTCCAGCTTTGTACTTTTTGCTTAATATTTTTTTCACTACTCTGGGTGTTTTGCAGTTGCACACAAATTTTAGATTTTAAACTATTTATCTGAGGAATATCATCAGCATTTTCATAGAGATTGAATTGAATATGTAGATTGCTTCAGGTACTATGCGCATTTTAACAATATTAATTCTTCCAATTCATGAACATGAGATAGCATTTTATTTGTGTGTGTGTGTGTGTGTCCTCTTTGATTTCTTACATTAATGTTTTATAATTATCATTGTAGAGACTTTACACCTCCTTGGTTATATTTATGCCTAGGTATTAATTTTTTCTAGTTATTGTAAATGGGATTGTTTTCTTAATTTTTTTCTTTATTTTTTTCACATAATTTGCTGTCAGTGTAGAGAAATGCTACTAATTTTTACATAGTGATTTTGTATCTTGCAACTTTACTGAATTCATCTATAAATCTAACAGTTTTTTGATGGAGCCTTTAGGACTTTCTCTATATGAGAACATGTTATTTGCAGGCAGGGACAATTTGTCTTTTTCCTTTCAAATTCAGATGTGTTTTATTTCTTTTTCTTGCCTAACTGCTCTGAGCGGGACTTTCAGTAGTACACTGAATGTAAGTGGCAAAAGTGGGCATTGTTGTTCTTATCTTGTTCCATATCTTAGAGAAAAACTTTTCTTTTTGTGTCTTTGTTTGTTTAGAGTCAGGGTCTCACTCTGTCACCCAGGCTAGACTACAGTAGTGTGATCCTATCTCACTGTAACCAAAACACCCCTTGGATCAAGTGATCCTCCCACCTTAGCTTCCCAAAGTGCTGGGATTTACAGGCATGAGCCACGATCCCTGGTTTGGAGAAAAAGTTTTAAACTTTTCCCTATTCAGTATAGATGTTAGCTGTGGACTTGTCATGTATGGTTTTTATTATGTTGAGATATGTTCCTCCTATGCTTAGTTTTCTTGAGCATTTTTATCATAAAAGGATGTTCAATTTTATCAAATCCTGGTTCTGTGTAATTAAGATAATCTTATGTTTTTTGTCCTTCCTTCTATTAATGTCATGTACCACATTTACTGCTTTTCATACGTTCAACCATCCTTGCATCTCCAGGATTAACTACACATGATCACAGTGAATGATCTTTTTAAAGTGCTGTTGAATTCAGTTTGCTGGTATTTTGTTCGGGATTTTTGCATCTAAGTTCATCAGGGATATTGGCCTGTAGTTTTGTTTTTCTTGTTGTCTTCTTGTCTGGTTTTGGTATCCGGATAATTCATGGCCTGGTAGAATGATGCTGAAAGTATTCCTTCCTCTTCAATTTTTGGAATAGTTTGAGAAGAACTAATATTCGTTCTTTAAGTATTTGGTAGAATTTGGTAGTTAAGCCATCAGATTCTGGGCCTTTCTTTGATATGAGACTTTTTTTTTTTTTTAGTACTGATTCCATTTCCTTGTCATTTGTCTGTTGATATGTTCTGTTTCTACATAGTTCAATCTTTGTAGGTTATACGTGTTCAAAATTTATTCATTTCTTCTAGTTAATC